AAGAATATCGATATGAAAATATTTAAAGAATATCGATATGAAAATATTTAAAGAATATTGATATGAAAATATTTAAAGAATATTGATATGAAAATATTTAAAGAATATTGATATGAAAATATTTAAAAAATTTTAAAATACTGTTGTACTAGGTTCGAGTTATTAAAATAGTTATGAAACGAAATAAAATCTATGTAACTCCAGTATCTCATGATTAGTAAGGGCTCATTTTATTTTCCATAAAAATTCCCGGTCTAGTCGTAAGAAATGTTCAAAAATTGCTCCTCCTGCAAGAATGCAGGCTTCCATTCATCGAATTAGCGATTGTCGAACTCCTTCAAATATACCATCAGTAAATGCATTTCGAGTGCATTCCCAAAATCGATCTTCCATTTTTTATTTTTCTAAACCAACGCTTACATAAATCTTTGAACGCTTATATCGTTCCAATAATGCATTTCCGTTCCTATTTCCAAAAGTACGAACAATTTTTCCCCTATTCGACCTCGGTAACACATGGTTCAGGTTCGGTCCCAAGCTTTCCGGACACTCTGTACATCTGCGACTTCATAACATTATAGCTGGCGCCGAGACAAATTCGCTGACCCACTATACTACGCGACCATAAACCTTGAGAGAAAGAAACGCTGAAATAATTGAAGCCGCAAAAAGCGAACTCTCCCTGGACCACCGTGCCATTCGATGACCGAACTTGAGAAGTTGACGTCCGCGAGGGGTTGGCGGCGGACGCCCCGAAAGCAGCCGCGTTTACGCGTCGCGTCGTAAATATGAAAGCAGCACGGGATCGCGCGTCGCTTGTTCTAGAGGGTGGAACTCTCTCCTGTACATGTCGGCCCGATAAAAGTTTCCACGGGGCTAAGAGTGTTGGCGGACGGCGTGGAGGGGTGTCGAAGACATGCGTGGAAAATCCGCTCCGAGTTTTGCTCCACTTTATGCGAGTTCGGATAAGTGCGAGGAAAAGTTCCACGGTGTCTGCAATGCGTCTCAGCAGAGCGCCCTGGAAGATATCCCGTTGGCAGAGTGCGGCAGTGTTACGCCGGTTGCCATATTTTTTCAGCGGGCGTGAAACAGCTGCTGCTCGCTGCTGCTGCTGCTGCTGCTGCTGCTCGCTGCTTGCTATCGCTGCTGCTACTGCTACTGCCACCGGTGCTGCTCGTACGAGGCCACACTTCGCTCTGCATCCCTCTGTAATCCACTTTTTAACGGATAGTTAAATACTCGTTACCGGCCTGGCTTTCGAACTCTCTCCCAATCCACTTACCCGTATCGGGTATTCGCACTCCTCTGTTTGACTTCGCGAGAAGGGAACAGCAGTGCTTGCGCCAGCGGTATTTTAATCTCGAATGTTTTCCGCGGCCGGGGGGTTTGTTTTAACCGGAACGACTGCCCGCCGGAATAATGGCGGAATACAAACAGAATTTTGAAACCATTAAGCAGCATTAAGGAACATTGATTCGATTTAAATTAATTTTATTGAAACAAAAGCGGCACGGCCCGTTGTACTTGTTATATATGTATACATACATGGTATATACCATAGCGACGGTATCGCGGGATATTCAGAATGATCCCGGTATAATTTTAATTATGCTTTCGTTAACGTTGTTATAAATAAGAGATCGTCAGCATTGTTTGCCGTATTTATTAGTATACTGCGCTCAAAAGATTTGTCGCATTGTTTACTCTTTATTTTAATTGTGAAATGAATTTGAATGACAGAGCATCGGTACATGCTGATCATTCTGTTCCATTGTCCGGAACGTAATTTCGTTTTACAAAGGAATTTCGTTTCGTGCGGGTGTTAAAAGAGCACCGGATTCAGTATTTCGTCAAAGTAAAAATAAGATACCGAAATGTGTCCGGGAATTATAGAAAGACACGTCGTTCAATAGTATTTACTCTAAACGTTAAAAAATCGTCTTTCCTTTTATATTGCTTATTATATTGTTTATATTGCATATTATATTACTTTGCGAACAACCCGATATATCATAAAAATTCGATATCTTATTCGTACATCGTTGGAACAACTTTAAATTGGAATTTAGAGATGTTTGGAAAGAAATATTTTGGGAAATTGTAAAATCTGAAAACCCGTCGATGTCGGCAATTGACATTCTGTCAGCTAATTAATTCGTGTAACAAGAAAACTATTACCGGTGGACTGCGGGTCGTTATGCAAACTAAAAATGTTCTGTAGCGAGCATAAGCGGTAGAAGTTATTGAAAAACGTATTAACGTACTAACACTTCTCGTACTAACAATTTCAATTGTTCAAGATAATGTAACGATTATTTCAGACTCATCCGACATTTTTACTCTTTTGTGTCTTTACTCTTTCGTGTGCACGAAAAAAAGCACGCAATTCACAATCTAATTCCGCCGTGGATAGAAGACTTGATAGTACAAGCGGGAGAACACATTATCTTGTTGAAGATGCTTGAAACTCGAGCAATTCAGGAAGAAACAGAAAGGACTGTTAAAGAAACTAGAATTTCTTGCAAGCAAAACAATGGTAACACTGAACGCATTTTCTGTGACCATTCACGACTTTATTAAATGGTTATAAATTCGTTTTGTTGCGAACAACTTTTCTACGCGTTAATAAAAGAGTTTGTGGTAATATAAGTACTTTAACAGATACCGAGGCTATATTTATTGTCATTCTCAAATGTATTATCACGAAGTATAATAGTCTAAGCATATCTTCATTTCGCATCTTAGTACCTTCTTCTTTTATACATATATAATTGTTGCATTTAACCCTTCATCGGTCTTATTGTATTCAAAATGCTGCGAATTATTTAGGTAATGCATATTAATAAAGATAATAAATTAATAAAGATCTTAAATATCGACTTATCGATCCAAGATAAAGATTAACTTATTGTTTCAAAATGACTGCTTACACAAAACCATCATTCACAATATTATCTTCCCGCGCCATTCATATGTTCTTCCAAACGAAGAATAATATATAGAGAAACTGAATAAAAAGAACTGTCGGCGAAGTGTGTGTGCTTGCCTAGATTATCGGATATCAAAAGGCCCACTGCGAGCATTTCGTTTGCGTGCATGTTATCGATTTACAAAGTTGCGTCACCGCATAAAGCGAATCTGTAGTCGCCGGTATGGATTTCACAGACAAAATTCGACGAGACACCAGCTGGCAATGGGAACAATTTCGAACACCATTTATCTGAATATTTGAAAAAGTACTATAAGCCGCAGAACTGTTAATTCAATTTTGTAGCATTCCCATTCTGCCATTGTGAACTGGTTGATGCGATAGCCATCTAACCATTTTGCAGTAGTACATCGAATTTACAAATGAAATTAAATACGGTAGAATCTGTTTTATTTGGATCGAGTCATGGTCAGCATCGGTTATCCGCAATCACGACCGGGCCTCTATTATCCGATCGCATCTCTTTCATATCCAAACTTGAAATCATATCGACGCGAGGACGAGCCTCTATTATCCAAACTGTTCGAAATGAACAACTGTTCCGTTGTGCAAAATTTTGCTTCGAAAAATCGTCATTAAGTCGTAACGAGTTAAATACATTAATTGAGCTATTGCATCCTCGACATCCATTTTGAAGATCAACTTAATCCTTGGTGGATGATGTCTGCACGTTGTGGCCCCGATAAATGCTTCAAAATTTATTGCACGAATACTTTAACTTGACTATCTAGTTTCTGGCAATAGATTAACATTTTCGCATGTTTCATTCAGCTCTGTGAAAAATTAACGTGCAAATATTAAACATACAGAGTTATATTTTTGACTTTAAAGAGAGCTATGGAAGATATCAAAAATCATGCTTGCCAGCATCGTACAATACTGATCGTGTAGAAAGCCATCGACAATTGAAAATCGTCCCTAAACAATTAACCTCATACATAATATACATAATACATAATATACTAAATACGAATGTTAATCATGCCTTCTAAATCGAAACAAAAATTCTCTCTCTCTCTCTCTCTCTCTCTCTCTCTCTTCTATTATCAAAATCTAGAACCCCACCATTAGGAAGCCTCGTCTCCTTCTCGTATTTATATTATATTATACTATTACGTTATACTAATTTTAATAAAGAGACAAAAAAAATATAGATATTCATACATTATTATCAATAAATGTCTGTTCTTACTCCGAGTCCGCAAGCATCCCACGTGGGTACTTTCGTTTCAGAAGTTCACGCGTGTAGTGCCAAGTTAAGAAAATGGAACGAGCATAGCTGAAATTAAAATTCATCGTCTTGAATCTATGACCGCCACTGCGCCTGCGAAAGAAATCGTAGCGTAAGCTGTTAAGCGTAAAAGTAGTAGTATTAACAATAGTTATTATATTGTTATATAATAACAATATAATATATAATATATATAACAATATAATATATAATACATATATATAACAATATAATATATAATACATATATATAATATATATGTTATAGTATTAACAAATTAAAAATAACAATTAATCCAGTATTAACAATAGCAACTCGCTATTTTTGTTGCAGACGACGTGCCTAACAGAACTGCCAGACGTGGCACCGTGCAACGGCACAGTGCGACTGCCACCGCCCTGCGAAGACTCCCCTAGCAGCGGAAGCAGCAAAGATTGCAGGGAAGAAAGTCCTCGTAGAAGATGCCGTGTCTTAGCGCCAATCCTGTTGCTAGTTGCGGCTCTGCTTCTCGGAGGACTTTGTCTACCGTTACTTCTACAATCCGCGCCTGTTACACACCAGCAAAGGCTGGACGTGATCAGGAGGATTCTCACTGAAGTGCCTCTGATCGATGGGTAAGATCCATTGAATTATTGAAGACGCGATTGGAAAAGAAGAAAGCGAGGAACATCCATTTTTCCTGATTTCATGTGTCGTGGAGCATTTTGTTCGCGATGATTCTCTAGTGGACGAGTGGAGGAGGATCAGGCGAAATTATTATAATAGTTGCGCCGAAGAACACATTTTGCGCTAAACGCGCCTAATATATGTTGATTTATAACAATGACGAGATTGGATTGATTTAAACTTCGTACGAATTCTATTATAATATACGTTTGGATGAAAAAGTATGTCTAAAAATTTCTCATCGAATCACTTTTATTTTTATTTATTTATTACCATTCATTTCAACAGGGTGTCTCAAAATTATATTATTTCTGGGAAATAAGGGATTCCTGAGCTCATTTGATGTAACTTTTTCCTTAGCGAAAATGCAATCCGTGGCTTTGTTTACGAGTTATTAACGAAAAACATGGGCCAATGAGAGGCGAACTCGACTGACGCAAGGCGGACCGGTTCAATAAATGCAGCTGAGCTTCGGCCGTTCGTTGGCTCAGCTGACGCAAGGCGGCCGAGCTCGCCTCTCATTGGTCAGTGTTTTTCCATAATAACTCGTAAACAAAGCCGCGGATTGCATTTTCGCTGAGGAAAAAGTTACTTCAAATAGCCTCAGGAATCCCTCATTCTCCAAAAATAACATAATTTTGGAACATATATATATAATATATTAATATATATTAATATAATAATATATATAATATTATATATTATAATATTAATAACAGTGAACGAAAAAATCAAAATCTAGTCATCTTAATTGTTAAATTGGTTTAAAATTGTGTTGCATATAACAACGCTCTATAAAAACCAATATCCTTTACATTAAATATTAAATACTTCTTATTTAAAAACTTATTTAATTATTTCTCTAAGCAAGTTAAAAATGCTTCGGAACAAAATATTGTGTTATAAATTCGAACTTATTGATTTCCGCTGGAATTGCTGTCACAAGAAAATCTATTTAAAATATTTTTTACCATGGAATGTTTATAATTTTTGTCGAGACTTCGATTATAAATTTCAGTTTCCGCGTGACGTAATGGAGTTTTGAACTGCATTCACAACCGAATAATTTCCAACCGTTCCGTGCACTTTTGTTTCAGGCACAACGATTTGCCCTGGAACGTCAGAAAGTTCGTACACAATCAGCTCGGCGAGGTTAATCTGAGCAGCGACCTCGGCAGGGTTGATCCTTGGGCCAGATCAACCTGGAGTCACACAGACATTCCTAGATTACGTGCCGGTCTTGTCGGTGCACAGGTGAGCGCAATATAACATTCCCAGCCCCTCTGCCTTTTTCACTCATCTCTAATTGTAATTTAACTCGCCGGGACGCAATCTCTTCGTTTAATTACGCCGAGTTAATTTAGCATTATTGTTTCGTGGTTTCTATAAACTTTATAACCAGCCCGTGACACTACGCACTATCCCCTTTGAACGCGTCTCCTGAGTCAGGATTCCACACAGTTTCGAATCGTTGGTAGGAAATTAAAAGCCAATTAGCGAAATAGACCGGCGAATATTATTTTATTTTGCGTTTGGATAACTTATATTTAACAGCAACAATAAACGCGGTATCTTTGTCGTATAAAAAATTCTCACGTGCAGAGATGTAATGATGTAAACGTTAATAATAATTGAATATCAGAATTATGTAAAACTAAAGTAAAACAAGGAAAGTAATCAAAAAGTGTGTAAAAGCGATGTTAATATTTGATAACTTGAATATATTTATTGCTTGAATATATAATTTATAACTTAGCCATTTAACTGTGTTTCTTTTTAGAGATTTTATGAATCATGTACACAGAAAATCAAATGCGTTAATAATTTTTTTAATAATTCTGTTGGAAAAAATTAGACGATTCTAAATAATAATAGCCGTTAATAAAGAAAGGACAAATCAGATGCAAAAGCCCAAGACTCTTATTTTCGTACCATACTAAACGAT